ATTAGCTCTGCTTTTATTACTGTCGTACCTAGAAACCACAGTCACAGACTGAGACACTGTTGTGCTAGGCAAGCATTATTAGAGACCATTTTATACCGATTCTATAAGCAGTACATTTTATAAATATGCCAGACTAGGCTCTGATTAGCCAAGAACAGAGCAAGTTAGTTGTCAAAGCAAATTCAAATGCACCTTTTCAAAAAGAGTTCAGCGAGCGGCTATTATTATAGTACATAAATAGATTTGAGAGAGAATGGCAGCACTTACGTTGTTAATCTTTTGAAACAATGGAGCAAAAATAGCATTGCAGTTAATCTCTTCTGATACAAAAATGAACTTTCCAGCTTAGTCTTTGTACTGGGAAGAAGAGAAAAATAATTACTAAATCTTAGTATTTTTCCTATTGTAGTGATGGTCTCCGGGATTCTGTTACACTTGCTGATGTGATCATGTAGATCTAAATTTAATCATCTGTTTGCTGAGTGCAGTTAATACACCAGTGTAAACCCATGATCACAACAGTCTCTGCCTGACCACAGTAGCATTCGTAGTAATTTAAGTAATTAAGAACCAGTACCTGGAAACTATTAATAGCAGGGAGTGTTTATTACTACTGTTTGATGAAAGTGTCAGATTGACTGAGCTAATGAAGTACTGGTATTTGGAAATTAGGAGTCACCTTACCAGGATGTACAGGCTGTACTTTGAGAATTATGTGATGTTAAACCTTTCAGAAAAAGAGATGCCTATGCGCATTTTAGGAAGATGGTATTTGAAAGTCTGGTGTAGTGGAGTAGCTATCTTTGCATAGACAAACATGGCCAACCAGCATTACTACAGCCAATTTCAAACAGAAAAATTTTAATTATGTTGATTTTGTTGCTACACCTTAATATTATTTTGTTTCTCAGAAGATTTATTTCTGGCTTGCAAAGATGTGACAGCAGAGGAGCCTTATAGCTTGAATCTGTAGGCCAAATTAATATACCATCAAATTCTCATTTGTGTGAATTTTGAGATCTTAGCAAGCAGTATAAACCTTGCTACTGTTTTTCAAAAAGCTATGAATCAGGTGCTAAATTCTGCAACTAGGACAATCTGTGTCCAAGCACAGTGGAGCCACTGAAGAATATAACATTCAATCTGATTTGAAGTCAAATGTGGACTTAGATAAATTGACTTCTCAGTGATATCCCCTGGTTATCACAGTGATCATTTTGTGAACTGTCACACTGAAATGAAATTACTTTATTGTCAGATCTTTGAAGACACTGTGTATTTGGCAAAGTTGCTCAGTAATTGCGTTGCAAAGGCAAGAGAGAGGAAAGGAGGGAAAGGACTGGTCCACTGGCTGTCATTGACTGTGATTTTTTTTTTTTTTTTCCCCTTATTGTAAGTGATCCTGCTCAAATCTTGTCTGAACTATGGCCCATGTGATAAGGTTCCCTTTGGTTGCCTCCTTCATCTGCTGGCTAGCAGTGACTCAGCAAACCGCTCTGGTTCATTAACATTGGCAGCCTTCCAGAGTTTCTGGTGTTACAAAGATAAACCATTTGAGAACATGTAAGGCACACAGTTTTCTTTGGTTTTTGATCTGTTGCCATGCTCTTTACATTTAACTTTAATAATATTTTTTTTTGGTGTTTGTTCCAAGTGAAATCTCTTTTCCCTTTTCTTTTGCTGTGGCGAGCCACAACTAGAGAAGAGACTTTGAGAGCTCCTTGGGCCATCCCTCAGCTCAAGGGCAGGACAAACAGGTTCTGCAAAGTGTAATGATCCTGAATCCATAATTATGCCCGGAAACATCTTCCATGCCAGGCGCTCTCTTTCCCCTTCCAAATTACATGATTGGCAAAATTAAAAGTGGTACTTGAAACTTAATTGGAATTTCCCTCCCTCCACCCCAACATCTAAAGATACAGTGATTCATTATGTGCTGTAGGAGTGGGATCCTTGAGACAGGATGCTCTGAAAATTCTCTTTATCGTGTTTCACATTTAATACTAAAAGTTCCAGAAGTTCTTGCTTTTTTTAGTGTGAAAGTCCCCCACCTTTCTGGTTCAGGCGAAGTTTTTTCCTCACAAAAAAACTTGCAGCTAGAAAACGCTTTAATGTACGATATGAGAGGATCAAGTTAATGGTCAAGAGAGGTCTAGGGTTATCCTAAATATTAACAGGAGAAATGTCAGCATGAGTATAAAATAAAGGGGGAAAATAACTTCTAGAGTTTGCAGAAGAGATAAAATAAGCTTATTGTAATAGAAAAGTACACCGTTTTATATATGGGTAGGGATTAGCTGCAGATGACAGGAGGCTTGAAGGTATTAAAGAAAAAAATAGTATGTTAAAGGGAAGAACATCTTCAGAACACCAGATGAAAGAGGTTGGAAACTACCAGTAAAGTGTTTTGCTCAAGGTTGATATAGGGGAGGTTGGTTTAGGGTGACAGATGACAGTTGACAGTGTGTAACAACAAACTTAGCATCACTATGGATAGATGATATGTATCCAGAGACAGTGATAGACAGTACCTATTTGTTTCAACATCTGAAGGCACCACTTCCCTTCCCTCTGAATAGTCATTCTTTTGGAACTGAAAATGAGGAAGGCAATGCTCTTTCATCTCTTTCTGTTATCAGCTACAGCATGGCCATCCATGTGTGTCTTCTGTTTGGATTTTTAGATGAGGTGAGCTGTATCTACTCCAGCTCCTTCAAAGCCTCTTTGGCAGTAATTCTGTATTGCTACATACTTTACTCATACTTTGATCCAAATGCAGCTGATGGCTAGATGACACTCTCCCAAAGAAAAAAACCCAGCATCAGGAAGTAAGGATTTCCATATTCTCTTCCAGCTATTCTGTCTATCTCAAACTCATAAGCCAAATGGTTAATAGAAGTTTACTGCTTAAGGCTTGCAGGTTTTACCTAGAAAAATTGTGGTTTTCATCGTTGACCTATCAGTTACAAATGAAACGAATTATGGGGGAAGCTAGAAGCACAGCTCTTTCTCATGCCTGCTTTCCCTGGTGTTTGATTCAATGAATTTCTTAACATTTCTGAGATTAAACATCTGTAGTATTGATGAAAATGCATTATGAACTATGAAAATAATTTCTGGCAGAAAGTCCACAGCCAACTCAAAGCCACACCCAGCCTTCTTCCTAACAAAGAGAGCTAACTAGATGAGAAAATGCAATCAAACGGAAGGTTTTTGAAATCGGTTGTAAGCTCTGGTTAGGCAGTTTCTCAAGGCAAGAAAATTGGCTTTTGTCCTCTTCCTCACAGAATAATAGTTGTTACAGAGCTGAGTTCACAGCAGAGGAAAGGAGAAGGAGCCCTTTTGATGGCTTCCCCCTTCCAAAGTTTCCTGTCTGCTTTTTTACATCACTTTCCTGAATGTGGTGATGTAGTATAGTATCATCTGAGCTAATAAAATGGGATTATTTCATTTACCTTTAACAGGAAGTAAACTCATTGCATTTATTTTACTCAATGTGCTGCATGAGTATAGACTGATGAATGGAGTGTGGAAGTGGAAAGAAAATGTTTGATACTTGTGTTTCTTTAGTTATCCTGAGTGATCTTCATTTGATACTCACGTAGTCTGAATCTCAGTGACTCGCCGAGATTTAAAAGACTGCAGGACATGTCAGCACAGAACAGAAGTTGCAAAACTTAAAGTGGGGTTGGTGAACCTGTTTTGCCTAATTCTGAGCTCACTCAATCGCTGTGGATTCCGACAATACAGTTAGGTTCATGAGGACAAGGACAGAACTCAGAGTAAATGAGAGGAAGACAAAAAGCCAAGCAGAGAACTGGTGCGATGGGAAGGCAGGCTTAAAGGGGTTTTATTGTGGAGTATATAAACACACCAGTGAATTTGCATTTGTATTAAGTAGGATTTGCGCAGCAAGGAGAGAACTGGGATGTACAGAGAAATGGGTATCACTGATGCATACCGCTGGTTTGCCTAGAGTTCAGACACAGGAGGGAGGGTGGGGACAGCCTCCTTTCCTCTGGGTTAAATTCAAAACCCAGTGTGTTGCCTAAACCTTCAAAGATACCCCGAGAGGCTGTAAACCCTTCACCTCTTTGGATTTGTCAGATTCTATTTACAGCCTGAGCAGAAATCAAAGAGAAAACAAGTATGTTTGACAGCTGTATCAGCAGTAGATTTCTTCACCAACATAAACCCAGATAGAGTTGTCAGATATCTTCTGGGTGTTTAGACCACTGTTAAATTAAGGAAAGGTGCCAGATTAAAGTTCATCAGATTCCCAGAGGGCACGTTGAAGCGCTGCAGTCTTCGGTGTGGAGATAGCTGGTTTCTGTTAGGTTCAAATCTCAAGGGGGTTCATTTCAGATCTTTCTAAAAATAGAACATTTAGCATATGGGAGATTGTATTTTGCCATACATAGGTCTTTGTTCTGTAAACTCACACATGCTTGAAAATCTAGTGCTTTAAGGAAGGTGAATACACTTCGTAAAACCTTTAGTGGATGCAGTTTTTCCTCGTTAGCAACTGAGTGTAACAGTTCTACCACAGTTGTTGAAATGCACAATCGACTTTTTCCCAGAGACCAGAGGGTTGTGTCAGTCTCCTTGCAGAAACCATCCTCTGCTTTAATGCAGAAGCTCTATTTTATGTTGGGTAGTTACCACACTTTGCTCCAGTGATGGTACCAGGTTTAATCCGTTAGGAATTTCAGAAAAGTAATTTCAAAGCAGATTTAAATGAAATAATTTCTCTGGTTTATATATTTACTGCATAAAATTATGCCAAGATTACAATGTAAAGTAATTCTGTGTAAAATTATTTTAGGTTCTTGTTGTATATACTATAAAAAGGCAATGTGTCTGTGTGTTTTAGGCACCCTAATGCCCTGTCTACATGAGAACACTGGTCTGTCTTGAAATTCAGTGTGTGATATTACAGCATCAGTCCTTACTGATAACCTTTTATTTTTATTTTTTTCCCCTTCCTAATATAGAGAGTGCTGTTCCAGACCCAATACAGACAAAATGTCCAGCAGGGGTGGAAAGAAGAAGTCAACCAAGACTTCCCGTTCCGCAAAGGCTGGGGTCATATTCCCTGTTGGAAGAATGCTACGTTACATTAAGAAAGGCCACCCGAAGTACAGAATTGGTGTTGGTGCTCCAGTGTACATGGCTGCTGTACTGGAATATCTGACTGGTAGGTTTTGCTGAACAATGGAAAATAGCAGCAGTGAAAGTAATAATATAGAGTTGCACAGAACAAAATGAAAAAGATCCTCTGATTTATAGATGACTAAAAAAGTTACAGCTGAAGTATGATCAGCACAGTACTTACATCTAAGCCAAAATCAAGGTACCTGCTTCAGAGCTTTGATGCCTTTTGTGCATTCCAGCACTGGATTTGCTTTGACCTGTTGTAAACACTCTTCTTCCACATAGGCAGTCAGGAGGATTCCTGCTAACATCAATGCATATGGACTGGGCCTGCAGTGTTGCAGTCCCTCCTGCTCTGATTTTGTGCCTGATGGCTCTGTTTGGGTTATAATTGTCTGCTAAGCCTATATGTTCCTTTTCAACAGAGAGCCTCTCAGTGTTTACAGAAGGCCAGGATTGCTTACAGCATTGTTTAAACATTTTTGTTCAATTTACAGATTATTTTTGAGACTACATATGCTGTTTGCAATTTGTTTGATTGATTCTGTGTATAAATGCAGACTCTGATCTGGGGCAGATGAACAATGTAGCTTATTTGCTTTCGCTTGTAGTCCTTTCTCTGTTCCTCTCATCACATCAGAATGAGAACACCTGAAATAATTATCTCATCCTTACAGTACCTACTTGGAGGACAAAAATATTATTTTTCCTCCATTTAGAAAGAGACTTCAAAGGAGGAAAATGCTTTGCCCAAAGACATACACAACTAGACATGCAAGTAAGGGTCTTTACACTGCAGTTCTCCTCTCAAATGAGACTCAAAACGTTGCAGATTTACCCCACAAACAACATTGCAAAAGTTGTCTTCTAACAGAAAATTAACCCCAACTGCAAGAGCATCAGCATACAGGCTTTTCGGAATATTGGTTTGTTTAAAATAAATTTTAAAGAATGGATAAGAATAAACCATCAGTTCAGTCACATTCATGTGGCCAGATTGACTTACAAGCCAATACCTGTAGGCTTGGGTTCTAGCAAAAAGCACAAGTGCTAGATGGATTAGTGTTTGGAGACAGATTCCATTAGCCTGACTAAAGAAAAGCTTGGATTGGATCTTATCTGTTACAGTAGTGTTTCTTTTTACAGTGCATCTCCTTATGTCAATATTCTGGTTGCAGCAGGTTCAAGCATTTTAAGGGACAGCGGTCTCTAAACTCTAATGGTGTGCTGAGCCTCTGAGGAAGAGGTACAGGTCATGGTTTCTTTGACTTAAGTACAAAGTAGCACTTTGCTGGGAGTGTTTAAAACTGAGGTGACCTGACTCTTAAGACAGTTTTAGATACACCCTACAATGGATATTAACACTGAAGAACAGAAATAGGCTGATTTTTTTTTTGGTGTAGAGTTTCTTCTTTCACTAAAGATGAAGATTGGTAACATTAGAGAATAATTAGTAGAGTGCTTGTTTTCTGTAAGGTATTAATATTAAATGATTTAATTTTCTCAGCTGTCAAATATCCTTCTTTTCATTTGTTCATGTTCATAGTTTTCTTTATTTGGGCCTTTTCTTTAAATGAATGCTTTTAAACTTCATAGATGGCCTTAAAAATAAACATTTCCTTCAGTTAGGTTCCTACTTACAGCAATAACAACTCAAATAAAATGCTTTTTAGCATGAAGGGTTCTTTGAATGCTGCCCTGTTAAAGAAACAGAACAATACAGGTGAGCTTAAGGCACTGCTAATGAGCAGCACATGTTATTGGTTAGCTGTTTGATTTAAAATGTTTACTGAGGCAGGGATGGTTTAGGCAGCTAAGAATAGGCTGGGGAAATAAAGGTGTTTCTTTAACTGCTGTGCATCCTGGGAAACTGTCTGAGGAGATTTTAAAAAAAAAAAAAAGCCAAAAAAAAGTTGCATACATTGCTTCTTTAGGAAGAAGAAAAAAGGGAGGGGGGGATGGAGGTCTAAGGGGAAAAGTACCTTCTTTTTTTCTCACTTTAAATATTTTTAGGCTGGGTTTTGGGTTGTTTTTTCTCCTCTGATGACTAGGTAGATAGTCCTGGTATCCTGCATCGCAGGATTTTCTTTCATTCTTATACATAGATGCAGCTCAAAAGCACAGATACTCTTTCTTTACTGAGTTAGGAATGGTTTTATGTTTTATGACTGCTTCAGTCTGGTGGGTTTTTTTCCCCTTCCTCTTTCTGTAAGTTTTTCATATTCTGTATAGTGTAATTTTTCTAGCCTTTAATGCTCAGTATGTTTTCTGAACTTCAGGTCATTCATCTTTTTCAATATAGTTCAGAAACAACTCCCTTGAAATGGGATGCTTGGAGGTTTTTGGTTTGTGTTCTTTTTACCTCTTGGCAGTTATTACTTCACAAAACCAGGGAAATCCTGACTTTTCTCCAGGAGAGTTTTTAAAGATGCTCATGTCAGCACATGATCTGAGACAAAATCAAAGCATTTCAACCATTTAAAAATAAAAGCAGGAACGTGACCTAATAGGAAGGAGACCATGTGAAGTGGCATGCTAATAAATTGGCTTAATCAAAAAAGTAATCCTATGCATCCAGGAAAGAGAGGAGAAATGTAAAATATCAAAAGCAGTTGTAGGAAAGAACTTCAGAGAAGACTAGGAAGGGAAATGAGAGACGTGACCTAGTAGAAAGGAACCTACTAAGGTTTGAAAACTAGTTCATGTGTGTGCAGAATACGGCACTGACTTTAATCCTTTAGAAGATGAGGTGCTAAATTTTACTGGCCCTTGCTTAAGTTTAACTCTGATGTAAATCTGAAATTAGCCCGTAAAGTGCTCAGATCTGAGATTTTTGGTTTGGTTCAATTTGAGATTTGAACTTCCGTAATGTTTCCAGCTGTTGAGACTTGGAATTCAGACTCTGGATCCATCTGTAGTTACGACTTTATCCACTTGGTACTTTGAAGGCAGTTTACTATGTATGCACAGCTACTCATCACAAAGTTAAAATACACATTCTATAATTTCTTGGTGTGTGGGGGCCTATTTGTCATTTAAGGCCTTCTTCAGTCTGTGCCCAACAAAGTGCTTTTTCAGACTACGTTTATGTTGTTCTTGTGCGTTTGTATCAGCACGTTTATGCACAGCTCTGCTAGCAGGAGCAGGCACTGGTTTAGCACACAAAAATTAGGCTGGCTGCTTCAGTTGCTGTGAACTAAAAACTCTGTGTCTTTGCTGTACTGCGTTTCAGCCTCTTGGCTTCTGACAACTTCTGCAGGTGCTGGCTGAAGTACATCCTCCCTGTGTTGTCTGTTGGAGTAACTTTAAAAATAAGAATAATAAAACTAGTATATTATTAGAGGTACAATTTGTCTTCTGGTCTTCAGCTGATAATGTGTTTTTCCTTACCTTACATTTCAATACGCTTGACATACAAGCAGGTTGCACACTGAGTATTCTCTTCCTTATTCACTAAAGGTTCTTGTTACCTACAAGTAATGTTAGAAAACAATTCACTTCTCAGCACACCCAGTGTATGCAGTTTGGTTTCTTAAGCATGCCACGTGCTTATTCTTTCCTGCTTTTCATTTAAGGAAAGAATCTGTAATGTCCACTGTAAATAGGATGCAAGTGTGTGTTTGTAGGTGAATGTCCAGCAGGTACCTTTGAGTTTTATCAATGCTGAAGCAAGTGGATATCCTTCCTTTCTTTACCCTGGAGAAATAGTGTGGATGCTGACGAATTATAATGCATGGTTCTTATTTCTTTTCCTTCTTTGTAGTAGCAGATCACGCAAGGCTGCCTATCTTGTCGGGAGTAGTCAGAATATTTGATTAATTTCTGCTCATGCTGCAGAACTAATTTTAAGCATTATCAACTGCTTTAAGCTGGCAAGAAGTTCAGGGTTAGTAATTCCTTTTGTCTTCTTTCCTTATTGTAGCACTTGTTTTACAATCATTCATTGCCTATTTATCTTCCCTAACATGTACTTCAGAAAACTGCAATCCACTCCTTATTTTCTCTGCAAAGTAGTGCATCAGTGTCAGTTTATGTCAAAAAAAATTACTAGGTCAGTCAAGAGGACGGCCACAGGCTTAATTTGGGGCACTGCAGCCACTCAGATGAAGTTGTACGGTTTTTATTTGTCAGAACTGGTCCAGCCATACATGTAATCAGATATGGTCCCTTCAGATGTATAGCTTGCACAAGTTGCAATACAGTCCAAACTTCCTTACCAACTGGAAAATATACCTCTTTGCCCTTAAAAACCAGAAATCTCTTGAGCATATTTAAAGGCAGCAAGAACCAGGCCTGCAAGTGATTTCTGCTCCCCCTTGCCCCCCCATGGTCCTCTCTACACTGTAAATAATTTTCAATTGCCAAAATGTCATAGCAAATGAGGAGAAGGAGAAGTTTATAAAACAGCAGGAGAACAGGAATACAGAAGAAATGAGACTTTGATTTATATTTGTTCTGTACATACTGAAGTAAGGTAGGAGAAAATGTTAAATGTCTGTTTTCTCCATTAGACTTTTTTCTCAACTGGCTTTTTATTGCCCATTGCATACTGTTGATCATGTATTTTGTTAAAATGTAAAATAAGCACCTTTTGAATCCCACGGTTAGAATTGTATCTGAGGCATTCTGGTGCTTACCTGAGTTTTTGTTTTCAGGCTTTCTGATGTCACCAGAATCCCTTAATGGAGGTTCATGTGCTGGAGCTCAGTTCGTTGCATTTTCATCTTGATTAATTTTCGATGTGGAAAACTTTCTTAAGCCAGCTGCTGATTGGCTGCAAAATGAAAGTCCTTCCTGAATGCAGTAAGTTTAACTGCTCGCTTCAGATGCTCACTTTCCGATGTGCAAGCTGATCAACTTGAACTGCTGTTCACCTCTTGTGTTCTACTTGCTGCTGAAAATTTTTACAGGGTTACAGAGGAATACAATGATTTGCCCTGTTTGTCAAAGCAGATGTACTGCTGAACTTCTGCTTGGAAGCAGAGGGGAGCTCAGAGGTCCACAGTAAAAAAGCATAAGGTTAAAAGCAGATTCAAGTTCCAG